AAAGGTTAGTTGTTCTATTTGAATTCTTTTTACTATATGTACACCTGATTGTAACATGTCCTAAACTTTTGAAGAGCAGTGTATAATGAAGGTAAAATTCAAAAATAAACATGTTTTTTATTATAATTTATTTGTGTCTTTTAAAATTTCAAAAGTGAGTTAGAATTGTAGGAATACTTAGCTGTAAAAAAATATTCTGCATTGTGAGACATTTGACTTGTCTTCTTTAAATATCTTATAATAAATAAACCCTCGCCTTGTTCCAACAATAATAAGAATAACCAAAACATTATGTCAAGCCAACCACACCAAATCTTACAATGCAGATATTTATATTCTTTTGAGAAGTTTAAAACACAAGAATATCTTTTATCCTCGCCATGCCTTACGGGATATCCCTCAATCATAAAAGAAATTTCTATAATATTTTTTTGTTTTATGCGTTCCATTTATGGAGCGGAAATTTTAGTCCCTCATTTGCTATGTTGGGGTCTTAACTAGAGCTTCTTTCATCATTTTTCGTTCTTCTTATTTCTATTTTCCCCTTCTTTTTATTTTTTTTCAAAAAATTTTTAAGTTTAATTTGTGTCATAGGAGGCTATAAGAATCCTCTCACCACAAGTGGTCTAAAAAAATACTTTAAGACGGCTAATATTGCCGGCTCGTATACATATCCTACAACTATAATTAGTTCTTATCCGCACGATACCTGTCATTTTTGTAATTTCTCATATTTTATTTTCCTTCTTCAAATATTAATCGTTGCGCGCGAGAGAGCGACTTCGTCAGAAGCGCGGCCTTTTCCCGGCTTTTTGTACTATTTATTAGTCATAATTGTAAGTAATTTTATATTCTAGAGCGGATACGGATATCTACACATATCTTAAAGTTTAATTAAAAACAAATTTCATTTTCGATATTTTGCTAACAATTATAGAGATATATACATATTTACTTCATTGTACGTATGGCCCACATATAACACAAGTTTATGCTCAAAAAAAGCACATCAAAAGACATTATATTAATTTGTGCATTGTGTGGATCAAACATCGCGTAGATAAATTAAGTGTTTATAAAATGACTGTAGCTTTGTTTTCAATACCGCACTTTTGGAAATACAAAACTCAGTAGAAGGAGAATTTAAAATTTTTTATTTTTAAAAATTTTCCCCGAGAAGAAGTTAACTGTTCAATCGCAAAAGAATACGATAATATCGTAAAGATTCTTAAAGGCATAGAAACAACAGTAACTGACAGCAAATATGCCAAGTTGTGGCGATATTCCCCGGTATATCATTTAAACACAGTGATTCTCTAAAGGGGATGTGTTTATATATCATTATGCTTTAAATTTTGCCAATCTGCCTTTATTGTAATGAAGAGCCCTTTTTTTTAGTATTGACACCTGTTTTCGTTTTTGTTCCTTTGATATGCGAACGAAATGAATCAGATGAACTTTTGGATATTTCCCATTTTGATACGCAATGGATTTTATAAATTGCTATAAAAAAAGAATATTTAAAAATTTTAATTAGAATTAATCAGAAACATTCAGATCATTTACTCTAATTACAGCTATAAGCAAGTCATTGAACGTCTTCCCCCGTGGAACCAGCCGTCTTACGAAGCATAAATTCATATAAATAGCCTTTCATAAATGTTCTTGAGTCCCAAATTGATTTCGTAGTATTTTCTTGCAGTGCATCCAACAACCTTTGATGCTTTGGGTATGAATATTTATATTTATATCGTTTAGGTCTACAAAGTTTTTCGGAAGATTAACGCTACTGAATATGTAATTTGAATCATTCGACAGAAAAGAAAAAGCGGCCCATTTGCCGCTCACTATATGGGTTCCGGGGGAGAATGTATCGTTTTATCAGAGGTTCTAGATTTGCTTTGCTTCCGTCCTTCACAACGAATAGCCTCGCTTTCTTTGTTCCACGTTCCACTATTCCGAATAACTACAGTTGATTCTTGAATCTTCCCCCGTGGTATTTTCTTTTAAAAAGCAAAGATTTGTCACTTTAGACTATCTTTGGCGCCCCGTTCTCGTTTATTCTTCCAACTTCACATTTCCTAACAAAAAAATTAACTGACATATTTCTATAAAAAAATAGCACCAATCTGATGTGGCATTCTCGCCGAGATTCAACTCTCTCCCCATTCGCAGTTAAATGTCTTTTTTACTCGATAATACATAAAGATAAACATACCTTCAAAATAACTCTGCAAGCGAACAGAGCGTTAAATTTTTTTTTCATGTGCATTGCATATTCAAATATAGCCGCTGGGCGTCTTTATTAAACTCATAGAATTCCTACACATATCACAGTGCATTCTATTTTTAAGTAAGCGTAGACCCACCAAATATTGCAAAATAGAGGGGTTGGTGCCACAAAACATTTACTAAATGCTTTCAATCGCAAAACTTCAATGATAAATCTTCTCAAAAACGTTTGTTTCGTATTCTTCCTCCTCTCCAAAAAAATGTATTTCCTTCCTTCTGCGACCATTGCTAAGGATAAAATAAAAGAAATTTAAATATTCTTTTTTTATATCGGGTCGAAATGACCATAGCGGGTTAAAATGGAAAAAACCAAAGTTTTTTCACATTTTGGGAATTAATCGATTTGATTACTAATTGTATAAGTTTTTTTTTTGCATGATTCCTGTCAAAAGTCGGATATTTTTTGTTTAACAAAAAAAATTATAAAATATTTTTTTAAAACTTTTACCCTTTAAATGAATTTACAAAAATGCAAAAAACCAATTATAAAGATGTCCCAAGATGAATTAATTACTTTTTTGCAAGACAATGATCTTATTGTGTTTGGCATGACGTGTGCAGAATGCGAGGACACATGGTTTTGAAAAAATATAATAAGGTGAAAGATAAAATGGCACGGGTACGTACATTCCCTTCCTGTAGCAGTTATAGAAAGTTTATATTAATAAGAAAAGGCGGTTTTGTGAAGGGGATTTAAATATAACCTTGGAAGATATTTTATTTGTATTAATTCCCCGGTCTTGTGATATTAAGCGACATTTAATATTAAATGTCGCGAGCCCAGCTCGCACATCGCATTTTTTGTTTACAAATTTTGAACGTCGATATTTTTTACATTATAGATGAGTCCATTTTTCCAAAACCAATACTTAAACACTTTTGTACAGGAATCGGAATCGAACCCGCAGATGCTTTTACATGTAACAAGATAAACCCAACTGCGATACTGTCACGTATATCTTATTAAAACTTTAAATAAATAATTTTACAAGTGGATTTTTGTTAAATAAAGATAGGCTGCAAAACATTCTAAATTCTGCAATATATTTAAGAACAAAGAAATTGAATTTTTTTAAATTCTTTATTTTTAGCTCTTAACGGTATCAGTTATAAATGATAAGGAGGAATATGATGCAACAATGGCTATCCTTTTAAAGTTGCCGTTTGAGACGAATTTATGTAAATACCAAGTCTTTAGGCTTCACAAGAAGGCGGAACACTTTCTTATACTTAATGACATGCTCTACTTAAATATTAGAGAAGGACTGTACAAAAAAGTGTTCTACAAGACTAGGGTCGATACCATGGCACTAGAGGTTAAAAGACTTTATGATACCAACCATTGGGCCATAATAGGATGTATGAATTATGTAAGGATTATTTCTTTACAATATCCAGAACTATTGTGAGAGATCTTGTTGCAGGCTGTAATACTTGTAAAACATCACAGCCTTTAAAGCAGAACGTGCCATTTAAGTATGTTACGGTGACCTACTGCTTTGAGCACATTATGATGGACTTAATCGACCTTAAGAGTTATAAAACAACAGACCAGGGTTTTTACTGGATACTTAATGTGATTGATGTTAATTTAAAATTTGAAAAGGCTTATTCACTTAAATCTAAAGCAGCTTTGGAAGTTAGCAATGCATTAGAATCACTTTTTCTGACTTTTGGTCCACTAAACTGTTTTACAATGTGACAATGGAAAGGAATTTTCTAATTCTGTGATTAACGATCTTTGTACTTGGTTTAACGTAAAATTGATTCATGGCAGAGTTAGACACCCGCAACCACAAGGTCAAATTGAACGCCTAAATCAAACATTAACGAGAGCCATAGCTAAACAAATGGATGCCAAAGATGAAAAAAACGTAAAGGAAGCATGTTGGATAAAGTATATTGATCTTGTTGTATATAACTACAACATTCCTGTTTATTCTGCCACTTGTAAATTGTCATTTGAACTTTTTACGGGCGCAAAGGGTTTAATACAGTCCTTAGTACTGAAAATGATGGTGTTATATTTTCTGATTTAGAAACAGATTCATGTAAAGAAAAAAAATAATAAAGAAGTTGTAAGTGAAGTTGAAGTAAGTATATGTGCTAAGTATCTTGCAAGAATTGATAAAAAGGCGATTTATAATTCTGTGTATAACTTTAATGCAGGTGAATATGTTTTTTCTAAAAAAAGACTTTGATGCTAACTAAGCAAACAAACGCTTAAAATTTGACCCATTTTTTCATCCTGCAGCTATAATAAAAAAAAATTTATCTGAGAATCGACTACTAATTGATCATGGAGATAGAACTGAGATAGTATCTATGACCAACGTAATAAAAAAACAATTAAAAGCAGTTTATTTTTGTGCTAAAAAAAATTATAATTTATATAATTCCGTACTTTTTTTTGAAAAAATTATTTTATGTTATCTAAATACAAAATTTAATGATAGCAATATCGCAATACAAATATTTTAAACTTCGGATACAGCAATACCTCTACACAAACCCATAAAAGGTATTTTTATCTTATTTTACAACTTAACTTTTTGTAAGCCTAGTAAATTGCAGCGTTTAAAATATCTCGTTTTCGATATAAAAGATTCTGCCGGGAATCGAACTATGTGCGGCCGTGGCTCGGGTGCGAGCTGGGCTCGCGACAATAAATAGCAGCCTTTTAAAATTCCTTTCCATAAACTAAGGTTAAAAGTGGGGATTATATTTATGCTTTTAAGAAATATGCATGCAAGCCTTGGTCTTTTGAATGGTACTAGAGCTATTGTAAAAGAGCTTCATAGAAATATATCTTGGGCAAGATCATTACTGGAAAGACAAAGGGATCTATTGTTGTTATTCTAAGAATTGACATGATTCTAAACAAAAGTGTGCTGCCATTTATTTTAAAGCGGAGGCAGTTTCCTGTGGTTGTGTCACATTCTATGGGCATTCACAAGGCACAGGGCAGTCATTCGAAAGTGTTGGGGTTTATTTGCCGAAGCATGTTTTTACCCATGGTCAATTATATGTCGTCTCTCAAGAGTAAGACGTGCGGAGCAATTGAAAATATTTCTTCCAAAAGGAGCAAAAGGCAAGACAAAGAATGTAATTTACAAGGCACTATTAACATATAATTAGAATTAAAAATAAGATTGTACGTTGAAGACATATAAAAATTATGCCGAAAAAAAAGACTCTTTAGCATACAAATAAAACAGACGAAAAAAACAAATTGCAACATTTCGTCCTCAAAACGAGGCGCTTTAGCTAGTCATCAATCATCAATATATATAAAAAGTTTGAATCTGAATATTTATTTATTTTTTAGCCCTTCTTTTTTTAAAATTTGTAAAATTCTAATAATTTTTTAAATACGAGTAGCATAAGTGTAGGCTTTATTTCTATAAGCATGAAACGGTGTTTTTGTGCATTTTTTCTTGCTTTTATTTAGTTATTACAATCTTATAAAAGGTGTATATAGCAAATTTTTATATATAATAAAAAAAGTCATTTTGTATTTAAAAAGAATAAGTACAGGCATAAAGCTCATTTAATTCATTTAAAATAAATGAATTCATAATATTTGTGATCCCGTTTCAAACGGGATAGCGCAAGCTAGTATAAAAATATTTTTTTAAAAAAATAGCCCTTAAAAGTAAAAATTAATCTATAATTAAATATGAATCAAATCATCAAAAGTATATACCTTCGTAATTTCTTTAAATTTATGTAAACCATCTATTTTATAATTTTCTCTAGGCTTTGTTTAAATTTTAAAATTTCTTTTAAGATTTTAATCTTAGTATTTTTGTTTTAACGATACTTACCCATTTCATTTAAATAGTCGCGATTGCACAAAATTATTAACAATTCTATTAAACTTGGATGAAAACCTTTAGCTTCTTTTTTAACGAATAATTAAAACTTTTTAACCATTATTAGTAAAAAAAATATCAAAGATAATTTTCTAATATAAATCATTATTTCCAAATATATATACAAATACCAATTATTATAATAATGATTTAAAAAATCGTTTACATTCTTCTGATCATACAAAAACTTGCTTTCCCTTACAATCAGTTAAAAAATTTTTCCCTTTCTTGTTCTACAATGAATAGAAGGCAAAGTGAACATTTAACAAAAATATAAATTTTTTACCTTCTCGATAAAGTTTACTCAATCCCAGCGCTTTTAATTTACGATATACTGCCCGAGAGTAATGAAAAAGACAGAATCTTATCGTCGTTTCACTTATAACATTCTCAATTGATAAATCAAAATCAATAATTAAATTATCTATATTATTTATGCCAGCATAGTCGTACAAAATGCCTATAACTGACTTATAAGAAGATTAACTTTTATCAGGAACAAGAAATATGCAAAAGGTAAATGTTTAGATTTAACAACAGTAAAAAATACCAAGAGTTGGTAAAATCCTTTAAACAGGTAAAAAAGTACCATACAATGCATAAAGTTTATGTTTTTTTGCTTCTAAAACACTCTTTTGTGTTTAAAGTCCAATCATTCGATGTTTTGAAATAAAATAATTGTCAAAATTAACAAACTTAGTGTCTGATCGGAAAAACATAGCTCATCGGGTATGTGATGGGCAAAAAAAAAGCATATTTTTAGTTTCAGTTTGTAAATTTCTATTCTCCTTTTTAAGTTATCAATAAAAGAGATTGTTTGTCGTTCTGAATCATCTAGAAGTATAGAGGCTGCACATATAATATCATTTGTCGTTTTTCTGGTAATTGTTGATTCTATTTGTATTTCTTCTTTAAAAGCAGACATTTAATTTTTGATGAAAAGGGGCTGCTATGGTTTTGTTCCTCTTCTTCAGAAATAACATTATTTGCGATTGCAACCTTGTAACTTCTATTATAGTTTTTAATAAGAGAAGACATTGTAATTTTATGTTTCCCTGTATATTTTCTATAGTATGTAAATCCTTTTAATATTGTCATTTCTCTTCCCTTTTCAATCAAAACTACAATAGGTTCAAAATTTTGCCTCGATATTTTAGATTGATACTCCATTTTTAAGGACTATTTTTTTTTACAAAATTATCTTGTAAGCTGACGAAAAATGCCGCGGTGGCGATATTTTCCGAGAACCTTTATAAGGAAAAAAAACTATGTGCGACTGTAGCTTGACACGAGATAAGCTTGCGACATTAGACAATACTTTACATTTTTTGTATTCAACCAATTTATTTTAGTAATTGTAATAAATAAAATTTTTTAACTTATTTAAAAGTATTTATTTATGGGGTATTCGCGAGAAATGCGCCCAGTGGCGCGGTACCCCCCTATAATGCTCACTGTTTTGCCGTTTGTTCCATCCGGTTCCTTAAAATAATAGTTGTTTTTATTGTATAAAGATTTATTTTTGTATTTCTTGCTCTCGCTACCTAAAATGTTTTCTTTTAGCATGACTCATGACAATTTTCTTATTTATAGTTTTTAAAGAAATATTTTAACCAATGAAAACTTAATAATAATTGTTATAAAGAAAGGAACAATTATTATACTTAAAAAATTGTGACCAATGGTTTTGTCACAAATTGTCTTAAACAAATAGTTATTAAAAGATGCATGTGGTTATTGACAATAATACCACAATTTACTATTTTTAAAAAATTATGTTTTTTTGATAAAAATTTAATTTATTTTGGGTTGATAAAATTTTGTTTTTAGTCCCCCTTATAGTTTAATGAAACTGAAAATAATATGTTTGTTTTTTGCTTATTTAAAATCTAGTAAAAACATTTATGACAATTTATTGGACATTGTTAAACAGAAAATTGAAACTAAAGACTATTATTTAATTGATTCAGAGAAAAAATACTACTATTTTGATACCTGTATTACCCTTAAGGAAATTGTTTTTTGGGAATGTAAACTAAATGCATTTGATTTTCGCTATGCTTTTCCCGTGTTTGATAGGGTTAAGTATAATACAGCAGATGAAGCAATTCAAGCGATTTGTGATTATCATCTTTCAAAAAATTTTAATATTCCAAAGAAATTTCCGACTTTATGTAAGATGAGGTTTTTAGAATTTGAGCATGATATTCAGTCTAAGCTTGAGAATTTTTTTTATAATGGGGTTGAACCCGATTTTTTTGCTAGATTATATGATAGTAACAAACAAAAACAAATAAGAGAGCTTTGTTTATTTTTTTCTCGAAATAGAATGATAGATCTTGACTTTTGCTTTTTTTCAGAAGAAAATCTTTCTGAAGACACTATCCAATGCTTTGAAGAAGAAAACAAGATGAAAATTTTTTTTCCTGTAAAAGTAAAAAATTTAGTGCTTTTTTTTAAAATTGACGTTAAAGATTTGTACACTGTAGAAGAACAATATACAAGTGAGTTAATAAAGTTACATAAAAATAACAGTAATAATAATATTTGTACAGAGATATGCGCTTTAATTACTAGAATTTTTACATTTTCTGATTTTTTGTCATATTTTAAATTATTAAATGATGTAAACGATAATCCTAGGAAAAGAAAATTTGGAAGAGAGTCATCATGTAATATTAAGAAGGAAATTTTTAATGTTAGATTTTTAGAAAAAGCTATATCTTTTGAAAATTTAAGTACATTGTTTTGTTATTCTTATGATAATCACTTAGAGATTGAGGAAAATTGTCAGCGCATTTCTGAAGAATATCAAGATTGCATTGAAATTTTTAAATTATCTACGAAAGCTAAGGCCTTTGATTTTGCGCAATACAAAATTATTTTTAACAAATGTAAAAGTGAAAATCTGCTAAATCACCTGTTATATAAAATCTGTGAAAGCCCAGGTTCTGGTTCTTATCTTATATTAATGCAAATTTTAGGCCATTATAAGATTTTAAACGTGAATGAAATTAATTTTTTTACGCGAAATATATATGAGAATAGTAGAAAGCAAATAATTATTTTTCTGCGACTTTTTTTTACTAAAGAAAAACTTTCTAAGATTCATTTTATGATGACATCGGAGAGTGAAGAAGCTAATAATTTGTTATATACTCTTATTTACAAAGAAGCTGAGGAGTATTTTAGTATTTATGAAAAGAGTGATATTTTTAATATTGAGTTTTTTAATGATATACGAAAGTTTTCTAATTTATATTTATGTCTGAATGAAATAACGTTATATGATTTTTATAGCATCTTAATTGGGAACTCACGATCTATAATTACATCGGGTGTGAAAACATTGTCACAATTATTTGAAAGTATAGCATTACTAACCAATTTAGACGTTAGATACAGCATAGGAGAAGAGCGTGTTTATTTTAATAAATTAAAAGCTAAGAAGATGTTTCAAATATTAAATATTGACGAACCCGAGAATTTAGAAAATTACGTTGAAAGTTTAATTAAATGATTTTAATTTATAAAACTAAAACTGTAGATTTTTATCTTGCCCTGAAGGGTAATAACAAACTTGTCTATATTATAAAAAATGTAAATCAAAATATTTATTTATTTTTTAACCCTTCTTTTTAAAATTTGTAAAATATTTTTTTATAGGCGGTAACACTATGGCAAAGTTTTATTTATTTGTATCCTTTTTGTCGTATTTATAAACAAACTTTTAAGAATATAGACACAGTAAAAGTTAATTTGTAGTAAAATACTAAATTTATTAAAAAAAGAATTATTACAATGACATACTATACATTTTGAAAAAATTATATAAACTAATATAATTCCGAAATCCCGTTTTAAACGGGATAGCGTCAGCTAGTCTATATATATAAAAGTTTGAATCTGAATATTTATTTTTTTTTAACCTTTCTTTTATAAAAATTTTTAAAATTATTTTTATAAATAAAAGCAGCATAAGTGTGGGGTTTATTTTTCTAAGCACAGAACGATGTTTTGGTGCATTTTTCCTCGCTTTAATTTAGTTAAAATAAACTTATACAAGGTGTTCTATTTCAAATTTTAATTAATATATATAAAAAGCCATTTTTATTAAAAATAATGATTAATGCATAAAGGTGCATTAAATTTAACAAAAGAAAAGAACACACATTATATTTGTGATCCCGTTGAAAACGGGATAGCGCAGGCTAGTCTATATGTATAAAAAGTTTGAATCAAAATATTTATTTATTTTTTAACCCTTCTCTATTAAAAATTTGTAAACTTAATTAATTTTATTGGATTAGTTATTTTATGTACAGCGCGATACTTTTGTGATTTTCTTTAGTTTTATTTGTTTATTCGAACTGTAAAGAAATAGGTACGCAAATTTATCTATAGTAAAAGAAGGTAAATGTTGAGCTTTAGCACAAAAAGAGTTGCTACAACGACATACTATACATTTAAAAAAGCAAATCAAGGAACATCAAATTCAAAATCATGCTTAAAACTGGATAGCACTAGCTAGTCAATATATATAAAAAGTTTAAATTTGAACATTTATGCATATTTAGTACTTTTTTTAAAAAATTGTAAAAATCTGGGATAGGAGTGCATTCACCTCCTGGTCAAAAAAATTAAAAAATACTTAAAAATTTAATTAAAGGCAAAAAATTTTTCAGCAACATGGCTTTCTCTAAACATAAGATCTAATAGAATTTTCTTTACTGTTCTATATTCATTTCTTTTTTGGTTTTTATATAATATTTAAGCTTTTCTCTACATTTTAACGTGCTAAGTTTCAACACCAGATATCGGATCAACGAAATTATACTTATGACAAACACTATTAGTAATGTATTAACTAAACTTTGCAAGACTGTTTAAGCTTTTAATTCATCAGAATATATAATATTTCCTGGAATCAAAATCTCATTAATAATAGAAGGAATTACATCAACAGATCGAGATTCAACAATTGTCACATACTCCAAAGCTGACTTATATGATGCATTAACGATACAAAAACACCAACGAGACGGGTACGGCCTTTCTTTGTGGCTTTTTACAGCACAGTTTATTTTTGTTTTATCTATCCGAGCGGAAATAACACTGGTCTTTCTACAAAAATATACTTATTTTATCAACAACAATATCCTGAATTTGCGTCATTGATCGTTTGCCTGTTTCATTATATTCTGAGATCTTATTAATTCTTATTTCGTGTGCATAATTTAATTTATACTGCAATTTAAATAGTTTTTATTTACTTTAGAATTTATGATTCAAAAACCGGACCTAGTTGTTTTAGCTGCATGATAATGATCACAACTATACAAAATACGGTGTTCGATTAAAAAATATAATATAGTATATTTTATCTTAAAAGATTATTGTTTATATTAAACAGTAAAAGATTTCAAGTTTCTAAAATATAACAATAAACTAAGTTAAAATTTAATAAAATCGTAATTTTTTATTCTACTAATTAATATTATAAAAATCAATTTGTTAATTATTTAATTACAGAAAGGCAAAATCATCAAAATATTTACTTCCTCTAGTTTTTTTTCAAAAACAAATCTAGTCTCACTTCTCTATCAACATAGACTCGCTTTCTTTCAAGTCTCATGTTTAACTTATCTTGTAGAAAAGATTTTATTTTTAAAACGTCTTATATATTTTTTAATTACCTATTATCAAATTAAATTATTCTGTCTCAGTTTTTGTGCTGCTAATTCTAAATAAAACAATAATAGGTTAGCATTATTTTCAAAATTATCAAAGTTTTCGGGGGGGGGGGCATTATTGGTAGAAACGCATTCTGTATGTATAACTTATAAATTTGCAGCCAATCCCAAGGTCTGATTTGTATATGCCATAGGATTAAGATGCTTCATTCTTGCGTTACGCAAAATTCTAGCAATCTGATCAAACAACCCCAACGCCTTAAAAATATTACTATTTACTCCTCATAAGTGAAAAACCAACATTTCTAGGTTCTTGGACCCAGTATTTGTTTGCTCTTTTATGTTTCCTTTTATCGGTTTACGAACAGCCAACTCTATTTCTGGAAGAAGATTATGACAAGATGCAACACTAAATGAATCAATATTTAAAGCATAATTGAAAGTGAAAAAACCAGACGCCGAACACGCCTTATTTATACATCTACATCGATAATTTCGCGGTTAATCCATTTTTTTTTCATAAACATATTTATTTTTACCAATAATTTGAACCATTCTTTCCTGGCTTTTCTTAATAATTCTCATTATAAGGATTAAAAAATAAAAAAAACTTTTTTTTAGTCATAAAAATTGAAATTTTTAACTAGATATTCCAAAATTGTTCATTTTTAGTCAAGTTTCATTTAAACAATTTGTCAAAAAATTCTATTAAATAATTTCTTCAAGTTCAGAAAATGTTATTTAAGGGTAAAAAAATAAAAAAACGAGATGCATAAGCCCCTGCCCGAGGGGCGTATGGCACCCTGACTTAGATTTATTTACAGACTAAAAAAAGCTATTAAATTGAATATTTTAAAATATTTTTTTGTTTTTATTTTTCTGGGGTTAAATTGTTTTTAAAAAAATTGAGTATTTTAGTCCATAACCGCTTTTACTAGTTTATTGTTGAAAATGTAGCATTTACAGTACAATTTGCATTAAGACATCTTAAATAAGTTGCACAAATATTTCCTTTCTCGTATATCCAAATTTTTAATTATTTAATAACTTGTATTTTATTATTTTCTAAAAGCATATCAAAAATAAAATTTCAGCTTAAAATTTTTTAAAAAAATTAGGTTTTCGAGGCATCACACTAGAATATATCTTAAAAAAGAGTGTTTAATTAAAAAATTTAATATTGTAAAAATTTCATATAGAGGTTGTCAACAATTTCTGCATTTTCAGTATAGAATTTTAAATCTGCATGCATGTATTTAAATTGTTTTTTTAAACATCCAAGATACCTCATTAATTCATCTCCCTTCTTAAGATCAAAATTCAGATCTTTGTAAATTATTTTTTCTACTAAAATAATCATTTCTAAAAAACTTAAATCCGAAAATAAAGTTGAAAATTTATATTTTTGATATTTAAACCTATCGTCAAAATAAGACTGTTCAATCAACTTTTCAAATTCAATAAATTTGCAATCATTGATAAAGGTAAAAACTTGCATTGTAAAATTAAGAACTTTTACTATCACAATATAACCATGCTGTGATATTCGTTGATACCTAAGTTGTTTAAAAATATTTGAAATACAATCAATAATGCGTATATTCACTTCGTGGATTCTAATGTGAAACTCAAAATCTATTGTTCCAAAATCTAACTCAACCTCATTTGGAATATTAAAAGTATCTAAAATGTAAATATTGCTAAATTCAGGCTTTTTTTTTGCTTCCATTAAATCTTCAAGCTTTTTTTCAAGTTTGCTAAATAAGTTTTCAAGTTCTTGCTCGTCGTTATCGTGCAAAATTGTATTATAAGGTGCTGCTAAAAATGAATGATTACAACTAGGACAATTTATAAAAATGAGCTTTTTAAAGACATCATCTGTATTTGTATTGGCAATAATAGCGTATGAACTTACGACATTACCATTATTATTTTTTAAAGTTTCAAGAAAATTTAAATCTACA